GCAATGTTTGTATTAAGCCGAATATTGATATGAGTCTGAATAAATACAAGTATTTGACATTCTATTAGAATTATTAAATGTATGAGAATTACAAAATGTATACAATCACAAGGTTTATTCACTATGTTATCAATTCCAGATATTATATTATACAATCACAAGGCTTATTCACTATGTTCTCAATTCCAGATATTATATTATATAATCACAAGGCTTATTCACTATGTTCTCAATTCCAGATATTACATTATACAATCACAAGGCTTATTCACTATGTTCTCAATTCCAGATATTATATTATACAATCACAAGGCTTATTCACTATGTTATCAATGCCAGATATTATATTATACAATCACAAGACTTATTCACTATGTTATCAATTCCAGATATTGACATTACTTTCGATCAATTTTGATTGTTCTCACTCTCCTCCAAGGTTCCATAATTAAGGCCTGAAACATCCTCGGTAGGTATGAGAAAGTGGAAACAGCTTCCTGATTCAGGTTACTTCATTATTTGGCTTTATTCTGTCTGATGTTAATTTTTCAATGTGTGCCTTTGTAGATTCAATACGAATTCATGCATTTATATGTTTTTATAGCCTAATATGTTTCTTGACAAAACATTCAATATCACATGGTGTTCTATCCAACGGATGACCCCCGGGTCTAGTTACGTCTTATCTTAATTTAATTCCTCGAATAACGAATACATCATCTGTATACTGTACACACTAATGAGGGAATTCCCGACGCCCTTCAACAAACAAAAAAGAAATATCACATTCTACTCCCAATCAGCAACGAAACAATTAACCAGTGGATATTATTTCCCTTTCAATAAAGCTTTTCTTAACTATATCCGAAATCATTTGTTTCCAACACTCTCGCAGTTCTTTGTGGCTTTTTTCTTTTAAAGTAAAAAGTATTATGTTACTTAAGTAGCCATTTGTAAGTCACGATTCTATATATCCGAATAAACGCGTGGTCATGTAAAGTTAAGTGTTTTTTGCTACAGTTGTACGTCATGATAGAGGCTCACAAGAGCTCTAAAGGGAAGTAACTACTGAGAAAGTCGCGCCTGGAATATCGACTGCCATCTATGTTTCGTCAAAGCTGATCAAGGAATAGTCTACCGATGTATGTTTAGCATAGTTTCTGCTTGATAAACAAATGCATTTTTTCAAGTTAAATAAATGACATTATAATTTTACAATCATCGATTCTATGTCTAAATTTATGGCTAATTCCATACACGAACATTAAATGTATCATTCACTTGTCTGTCAGTTGAACAGCACTTGAATAGTGCCGTGGTTTAGGAACTGTTAATTGATCCTCTATATCAAAATTGATCGGTCAGTTACATTATTATATCTATAGATTTTGCGTTTTAGACTTTTTAAAAGATCAGATTTTTTTCTTATGTCAGTTATCACAAATTATACGTGAAGCTGTTTGGCCGGGTGGCGCAGTGGTAACGCACTCGCCTTTCATCTAGCCAATCGGGGTTCGATTCCCGGAACGGACGTGAAAAGGTAAGGGGTAACCTGCCCGACCACGTGGGTTTTCCCCGGGTACTCCGATTTCCTTCTACAATAAGACCCCTCGCGGGCTTACATCCGGGCCAACAAGAGTTTTTAGTATAAGTTGACATAACTTGTTTCGCAATTGTTGTAAAATAAATAAAGTTTATATTTTTTTTAATTATGATTTCCTAGGGCTTTTGAAAATTAGCTGATCCAGATAACAGGACAAGCCAATGATACATATTACAACATATTGAGATGACACACTTGATACAAAATACAACATTTCGAGATGAAAGTGTCCTGATACAGATTACAGCGCATCGTAATGACAAGAACCTGATGAATATTACATTATATCAAGCTGACATGACCCTCAAACAGCTTACATCACATTGAGAAAACAAGGTTAGAACCGATGCAGGTTACACAACTTTAAGATGACATGAGTCTGATACATATCGAGTAGACGCGGCCCTGATACAACTTACAATACATTGAAAATGAACAAGATCATGATGCAACCCAAAGTATCCCGAGGTGAAATGAAAGATCCTTGTTACATCCTACTACACATCGGTATAGCATGATCATGTTGAAACCTACATCACCTCGAGATAACAAGATACAGTGCAGACATGACAGTACTCTAATACAGATTTCAAGGCTTTGATATACCATTACCATTGTCTCGATACAGCATCGTGAGGAATCTGCGTTTGACAGCTTACAAGTAAGTGCGATTTCTTCAATTATTGTGCGCTCTTTATCTATTGATGGATTCATTAAAGACAAAATATGACATTCTATATGCCAGGGAATTATGTGTTCCATAAAAGTTGGCATGAAACAAATTACAACACCTCTGAGAAATCATAAACACGAGCCTTTTTTTTCAAAAGTTTAATAAGTTCATAACGAAAATGTATATATATATATGCAGATAATTAAACAGATACATTCTATACAAATTAACAACACTGTTATATGAATGTTTTAGAGCTACATCAAATCAGTTCGAGTCAGTGTTTTAGCATTTTGTTTATGTTTCCTAATTGCCTTACCCCTTGATTTTATCATTGGTTATTCATTGTCTATATGGATGTTGATATGTCCTTCCTATATCCTACACATGTAGTTCCATTACTGTAATTTCGCATTTCAGTTGTTTGCATTTCAATATCAAGCGGTCCCACTTTCAAACGTCCAATACACGGTTTTAGACAAAAAGAAGGTAAGTTTAATCTTAAGGGAACCATATAATTATAACACATGTATTCACAATCTTATGAAAAAGAGATTACGTTTCTTAAATTAAGTAAAAACCTTTTCTTTTTTTTTAAATCTGTGGTTATTCATAATCATTATTTCAGAATAGATGATCAACTGAAATAGTGAACAATATAAGACAACGAATGATCTAATGTGTAAAGTTAATCAGGTAAAATGTATTATCTTCATAAAATTACATCGAAGGTGCTAATGGGGTCATTAGGATGTTTGATTTAATTTTTGATTTTTTTCTCGAAATCGCATTGGCTGGATCCTATACACGTGATCAGTTCTCAAAAACTGATGAGGACTGGTTTTCCGGTGAATATCGATTTCTAAATATAGCCTAAATGGAAATTCCCTACAGCTTGTCACAGTGCATGCGCAGTTAGACCGGTACGCGATCTGTCAGACGATCACAGACGTTGCGAAGGCTGCCGGCGAACGTTTCGCCTCTGTTACAGTTGTCAGGATGTTAAAGCATTCAATAAAGTCAGAATCTTTGTTTATGTCTTGTGTTCTTATTGAACATATAATAAAACAGTTATGGACTTCTGTGCTGGTAAATAGGATGTGATGTGAACCTGAAAAAATAGCATTGACCTCGGTTTCGCCTCGGTCAATATCATTTTTTCAGGTTCATATCACATCATATTCACCAGCACCGAAGTCCATAATTGTATAATGATGCTGAATGCTTTGAAATACAATGACTTTAATATATACATCATAATAGGCGATATCCTGGCATAAAGCTCAACTCAACTGACCCTTTCAAGAAAATATGTTTTTAACCTAAATTTAGTTTTTAAATTTACATGTGAAATAAGCATATGTTTTCAATTTAGACATATGATCTAATATAAAAATAATCTTGATTTAGACACTTTTTCATGAAAATACAAATGCAGCGATTCTATACCTCTCCGAGACAGATCAAGGAACATAAAAAATATCGTTTTGTATAATAAAAATATTCAATAAACTATAACATAACGTTCCATAAAAATAGCATCAATGTCACAGGTAACAATATATTTCTGTATATACATATGTAGAATATCATGATAATGAATCGAAAACAAATCTTTGTTGCCAATCGCTGACAAATAATCTATCACGTGTTATTTTCAAACTTAAGTTTTATACTGACCTTAGCCAGAGCACTTAATGATAGTTTTTATATTATCCTTTTACAGCTAGAATAATTACGCAAATTTTATAACACTTACATTAAAAAAATAGATATGGTAAGTAAGATAGGACTCTGTCTATTGTCATAAAAACCTTCTTTCCGATCATAACATCATAAAATTATCAATTACTAGTTATAGATATATATTGTAAGTTTTTTTTTAATTACAAGTTTTGCCTTTGGAAATACAAGAATACGGTCTTTTCCCCAATAGGTTTAACGTCAGAAGCCAACTTTCGTTACTTTCAGTAGTTTGTTTAAACGTCTGAAAATTTAATAACGATTTAATTCTGATTCAGGTAAGTTCAACGAGAGAGGGTATTGATTGACACAAGTAAAACAAGTCCGTGATGATCTTTCACTTAATCAAAGCCATCCGTTATGTTTTAAGATCGGCCAAGTAGACATTTATTTATTTATTTCTTAAATAAAAAAAAATCAGAGAACTATTTTTTCAATGAGAGCTTACCCTTGTAAACTAGAAAGCAATTTTTTTAAATTAAAGTTTTTAACAGAATTTAATTTTCTAAATTCTATAGTTGTGTCTATTTTGGTATGCCATAAAATTACATGCTAAACGACCTATGAATTCATCACAGTGATGTACAAACACAATTCTATTATATTTATCACATCCAAAACAAGATGCTGCATGTCAATTTAAGATCCTGTGTGATATAAGACAATGTGTATCATTTTACAAAACAACGACTGAAACAATAAAAGATGATTGAACTTCATAACATGCCATCCAATCGCAATCATTTCTTCGTGATACATGTTGATAATATTGAGATTATACTCTAAACATTTTTTATTCTGCAATCTTGATTAAAAACAAATTGATTTTTTTCAATTCATGCAGCATCGCATTAACATGATCTAATCATTGCATCCAATTTGTAGCAATATATTTCTCCTTCATCACAGCACTGTTAAAGAAACCAAAATCATTTGCGTTCTTTTGTGAAAGGTGACGTCTCCTCGTCTAACTAGTACATTTTATGTCAGTGCCGTAACGATACTTTCGATTTGTGAATCGTCACTGGATTTGAATCTCACTGTAAGGAGAACATTTTTCCCACTTGTGAGTTTCTGACGGCAACATAATTTGAGAAAAGCCCGTCGAAATCCATTACTCATAAAGCAGTAACACACTGGGTTTACGGTAGAATTCGACAATCCAAGTAACAAAACAACAGGATATATATAATCATTCACAAACTGGGTCTTTGTTGACAGCACCATGTTAAAATCCAACCAGATCATCACAGCGTAGAATGGAAACCAGCAGAAAATAAAAATCATCACTACTGCAACTAACATTTTCACGGTCCTTCTGCGCTGCCGTAGAATTCGTTCGGCTTGCGATTTGTTTGTAATGGAATTCTCCATGAAACTTCGTGCTTCCGTACGCCAAAGGGTGTAGCCGATTCGGGTGTACGTAATTAGCATTGCCACCAGAGGGAAAAAGAAAAGGACTATAAAGATAAACATACTGTAGATTTGTTTCGTAATTGGAGAGTACCATTGTTCCAAGCATATGTGTATCTCGTATACTCCTTGAATCCCGTCAGTTACCACAGTGCACACAACAAGTTGTGGAATGAATGAACACAAAGATACAAGCCATACTAAGAACAATAAGAGATATATTTTGTTTTTAGAGAATAAAACTTTGGCTTTCAGCGGACTGTGAATAGCGAAATATCGATTTATACTTATGCAGAGCAAGCTAAGTGAACTCACAGCTACTGCAGTACCTTGTAAAAAATGAGTAAGTTTACACATGAAAGTTCCAAAAATGTAATCGGAGTACACATAACGTCCAAGGGTCATAGGAATACATATACACACCACTAAAAGATCACCTACCGTTAGGTTTACCAGGAACACGTTTGTAAGTGTCCGCATATGTTGATACTGGATAACAACAGCAATCACAAATATATTCCCTAAAAGTCCAAAGATAAATACGGCGGAATACAAAACCATTAGAATAATCGTCATTGGTTCCATTCGTTCATAGAAATCTTCTTTTATAGCGTTGGAAAATAAATCTGGCAACATACTTAGAAGGTCAGGATTAATATTACCCGAGCTATCAAAAAATGAGAGATTCATATTCCAGAATTGTACATCAGCAGTGTTATTTACTGATCCAACATCTGTTACTGTGGGAAGCAAAGTCTCAGCTGTCATCATTCCACTCACTTACTTTCTGTGTGAGAGATATGTCACCGCTATGATCCTGACTGCGACCAGAATTAACATGTTCTGAATCTCCTTGGTGAATAGAAGGTGGGCGTGCCAGCGGATGATTGTACGCGAAGCCGTTCATACGGTTGACGTCAGTAAAGTTATCACTGATGATTTGTTTCTTTCTTTACAAATCGATATCTATTACTTTGAACAAATGACCGATAATCCTTTTCATCCATTTTGTAACGTTGTCAAATCCGTGATATATCGTATATGTTGTTGACCATTACTTCGTAAATAACAAAGTCTACGTTTTAGGCTCGTAGAAGTAATCCATTCCGTAAATCAATTCGCACCTGTTTCAAGTTCATTAGATACTCCTGTCAAATCAATGACCGTAAAAGATGGTTTTTTTATGAATGAGATAATCCGTGTACTAAATAAACAGATTCAATGTAGACAACAACTTGTGTCTGGAACATCGTGTTTCATCACATTAACCCAATGTCTCTATTAAGCTCGTTGGTTTTCGTCCAATATATGAAGTGTTAAAATTTCATGGTGATATTATCTTGTGTATAAATATTTCACGAGACTTCAAAAATTAAATTATTTTCAGACACAAATCCAGCACAGAAAACAGTATTGATCAATAAATTATGAATGTTGTTTTCCTATACCTGTCAGGTGTGACCTCCATGTTCTTTACCAAACTGCTTCCCTCATGATTAGTCCAAGTTGTATGTTATCTGTATCAAATTGATCTTCAAAACATCCGGTGCGCTCCCTTCCTCTATCACCTCTGTCAATGAGAAACCAAATTCGGTCAATGTTTAAGATGTAGTTTGTTCAGAACAGAAATGAATAGTAGCAATATTTGCAAAACAATCAGGGCCAGTATTCATTAAACTGTTCTCACAAAATCCATGCTTGATCATGAGAATAGTTTCATGAATAAGGGCCCAGGTTGTTGTGTTAAGAACAATACTTTCTCATCAATAAGACTTGTTTACAAAGTCAATATAAGATCGGGAGGATTTATTCACAGATGAAATTTCCATTAGCAGTTAATTCACATCTAACCAAAGTTAGCAAAACAGAAAAAATACCACAATGTCAAAAACTTCAGATTAATTATTATTATTATAATATTAACGGCTCGTCAACATATAAAAGGTCATTAGGGCCATCAACCGGTGAAAGGTATAACGATCAAAAATGAAAGAGCATCAGACAAGCTAAAAGGTAAAAGACAAATGCTAAAAATCTTAAATGGTTATATTATCACAAAAGATTAAAACAGGAAGTCATATTTCATAATGTAGACCAACATCTTTCGGAAAACCTAGAATTCTATCAATCTCAATAGTTTCAAAAATGATCTTGTAACGTTACGATAAAAAATGTCTCGAGGAGACAGAATGTTTATACAGTTCAACACAAAAAATGAATGGCTCATAGCCCTGACTCCATTAAAAAATGAACAAGCACACGACTTCTAAAATTGTGAGAGAAAATACATAGAATATGATATTCCTGGAGGGAAAACGTCATTTGTTTCGTCAACGACCTCTAACACGTAACTCTTGATCAATCTAAGTAAACAATTCCATGTTCCGAAACAAGAATAATGTTTATCTTTTTACGAAATATATGGTGAATGAAGAGTCAGGGAACTGTTGATTTGATCTGGATATTTTCGCTTTGTTTTAAATGTCTCTGTCATTGTATATTTGCTTTGACAAAGTAAAGGGAATAAGAAAATATTGTTATTTGACAAAACTCCTTTGAAGTGATACTAGAATTTGACGAAGCATAAATATCAGACTTCCAACCATGAGTAACAATTGAGTTTTAAGAAGGAAGTAATAAAATTGAAAAAAAAAATAATATCAAACAACAGGATAAGAAGACTGGTGATCACGTGGTGTTTTTCCGCAAACATCATGTGAAGCAATGTCAAAGTAACGCTTTGTTCTCAATACGTGTGTCAGTACACAGGGGTTGGATTCACAAAACCGGTTCGATAAATACTTTGATACGGTTTGTGTTTTTATTGGTTAACGTCCTTTCAACATCTGTATGTCATTTCAAAAGCGGCTCCCTATATACTCTTGATAATTCCTAAGTCGGTCAAGGAAGGCAATACGAAAACAAGGTTGCTATGGAGAAAACATTTAGAAGGCACGATTTAGTCGTATTCCAAACAGAGGAGAAAATGAGGTCACCAAACGATTGCGATACAAGATAATTTTTATCTAATGAACACCGCTACATCGCCAGCAATATTGCCATTTGTACATCATATGGCGACGGTAAACATGAAGTTTACTATTTGAGGAAGGAAGACATTTTTCTCCCTTAGTTCGTCTACAATATCGAATTAAGTGAAGTGATGGAGTACGACTGACATCCCCCCATTATCTAAATCGTCGGTGGTTTATAGCCTTGTCTTCTACCACATCATTTATGATTATGGCAATAGTGAGCTGGAATTTTATCTTCCCAGGAAGGTAAACATTGATATGCCCTCCCTCGTCTACAATATCGTCATTAGATAGGTATAGGAGGAAGGTCAACATAGATCTGCCCTCCCTCGTCTACAATATCGTCATTAGATAGATATAGGAGGAAGGTCAACACAGATCTGCCTTCCCTCGTCTACAATATCGTCATAAGATAGATAAAGGAGTGAGGTCAACATAGATCTGCCCTCCCTCGTCTACAATATCGTCATTAGATAGGTATAGGAGGAAGGTCAACCTAGATATATAGGAGGAAGGTCAACCTAGATCTGCCCTCCCTCGTCTACAATATCGTCATAAGATAGATAAAGGAGGGAGATCAACATAGATCTGCCTTCCCTCGTCTACAATATCGTCATTAGATAGATAAAGGAGGGAGGTCAACATAGATCTGCCCTCCCTCGTCTACAATATCGTCATTAGATAGATATAGGAGGAAGGTCAACATAGATCTGCCTTCCCTCGTCTACAATATCGTCATAAGATAGATAAAGGAGGAAAGTCGACATAGATCTGCCCTCCCTCGTCTACAATATTGTCATAAGATAGATAAAGGAGGAAAGTCGACATAGATCTGCCCTCCCTCGTCTACAATATCGTCATTAGATAGATAAAGGAGGAAAGTCGACATAGATCTGCCCTCCCTCGTCTACAATATCGTCATAAGATAGATATAGGAGGAAGGTCAACATAGATCTGCCTCCCCTCGTCTACAATATCGTCATAAGATAGATAAAGGAGGAAAGTCGACATAGATCTGCCCTCCCTCGTCTACAATATCGTCATAAGATAGATAAAGGAGGGAGGTCAACATAGATCTGCCCTCCCTCGTCTACAATATCGTCATTAGATATAGGAGGAAGGTCGACATAGATCTGCCCTCCCTCGTCTACAATATCGTCATTAGATAGATATAGGAGGAAGGTAAACATTGATATGCCCTCCCTCGTCTACAATATTGTCATTAGATAGGTGCAGGAGGAAGGTCAACATAGATATGCCCTCCCTCGTCTACAATATCGTCATTAAGATATAGGAGGAAGGTAAACATTGATATGCCCTCCCTCGTCTACAATATTGTCATTAGATAGATATAGGAGGGAGGTCAACATTGATATGCCCTCCCTCGTCTACAATACCGTTTCATATTTTGTATGGTTGGGCGGAAGACATTGATCAATGGTTTATCGCATGAATTATTAAGGATACGATGGAAATGCGAGAGTAATTAGCAAAACAGGAAAACAATACTATAGTTATTTATCTGAGGTTGATTCGGAAAGATGACCAATATCTCGTTTCCTGTATTGACATTTGTTTGAATGTTAACAACTCCATAAAAATAGAATACGGACATTCCACTCGGTCTCCTCAAATACATTCATTACAGAAACTAAAAAAAATCCGCAATATTAGTGTTACGAGCTATTAAAGATTCTATTCTCACCTTTTCTTTATTTGATGCGTAATCTTTCAAGCTATTCTAGTCTTTAAAATCATATTTATTTTCGATACTCTTCTATACCGGTTTGGTATCATCATTTCCCAGTATCTCTGTCTAGATGGATCGTGGGCTATTTCCGTTGTATTTATTTCCGCAGGCAATTTTTAATAGGTTCTGTTACCAAGGCAACAACAATTCTGCAATCAATGAAAAAAAATCATAATTAAATAGAATTTTAGGAGAGAATAAAATGCACAAACGGAATATAGAAAAAAAATCTTATAGGGTGTTTCCTCATAAGAAGGGTATAATTGATTTATTAAATCAGACTTCCAAAGGAAGTTAAAAAATGAATCATATTAAGATAACTTCACAACATGTAAGGGATCGACTTGCCAGCTCTCGGCATTTTAGGTCTTTGTCCTGTGTTTTCAATCACACTTTTCATACAAATAAACCTTTCTCCGACATTACTGACAAATATTCAATCACGGATGAAAAAAGATCTAATTAAAACAATTCGTGTCCAGAGTTAATAGTGGTGGCTTGACATTTAGATTTTAAAATTCGACATTGAGGATATGGTAATAAATGAATATGCATTATTGTGATTCACTGTTTGTCCTATTTTTAATATTTCTGAAAATTATGTTACAGTCTTCTGACTGATGTATCGATTTTATAGACAAAAGATTTGATATTGGCCCCGGACATTGTCTTCGAGTTTGCTTTGTGTCTGTTTTCTTTCACATGTTGATTAAATTGTATTGTATCTCATCTATCTTAACACGTCACTGAACAAACCATGACTTCTTTGTACCGGAAGTCCTAGGTGTATACATATATCTAATTGCCTTGGTTCTGTCATAGCTGATTAATACAACGTAGAAAGCTAGCATTGTAATGGAACAAAAGAAGTACGAAAGATTCTAGAAAATAGCAGACTGATGAAAGGATATTCTCGTGTCAAATGGCAATGATAACCTGAACTCAAGCCCCCACCCTGGCAGACAGGTAAATTGATGTATGGACAC